TGCAAGTTGAGCCAGGCAGTGCGACTGTGAGTGTGAGCCAGGTACACTCAGTTCAGGTTTCGATTGCGCCTTAGCTATTCCATAAAGTTTTAATTCTGTTTTGTTATTATTGTTTTACTCGTGTTTTGGTCCAGGCATCTGTCGTCGTATCTGTGGTCGCATCTTGTCTATTTGCTCATTTAATTTTGTACTTCGATGCTGGGCTTTGGAAATTTGAAATTACTCAATTAGTTTAATTAGCAGTCTGAGCGCCTCGACTTGATTTGCGATCATTTGGCCAGCGAAATGGAGCTCGGCAATGCTGGGCTCACGCAGCTGCTAGATTATGTTGATCTAAACTATTGTTTAGCCACAAAGTTGATAGACTAGTTTTCTTTACGCATTTGCTGTCGAATGTGTAAAGTGTTTGTGCTTCAGATCATCCCACTGAGCGTGTTCGAGCTTCAGCTGAGCATTACTTGATTTTCTCGTTCTTGAAATCACTTTAATCAGGATTTGCTTGATTGATTTCTGAATTACAATTACTGAAAAAATTCACATTGCTCTCAGTTTGCTAGATTATTGACTCTCAGCTTCCATTCTGCATTTGCTTTATTTTGTATATATTTTATTTTATTTTATAGATTCCTGAATCAATTTCAGATTTACGAATCTGAGTTTCATTATAGACTTTATTTGCTTGAAGCATATTTTTTATTTATTTATATTTCATATATAAATCATATATCTCTTTACAGCTTCATAAATTAAAGTTCCAAGTTTTTTTAATCTAGTTTCCAGTCTGATTCTAAGAATCCTTAAACATAATATTTAAGATTTCCGAATTTTAGTCTTTGATTTTTCAGTTTGCTGAGCACTAGTTGAACTTTTCTCAATTTCAATTTTCAATTTCTACTTAACATATTTAAATGTTTCTGAGGCGTATGCCAGGTGCTAAGATTGTGTGCGTTAAAGTCAAAGAAGACTTTTGGGCGATTGTCATTTATCAAAATCATTAATGCAATTACGCTGCTCGTCTGCCCATCTGTTCGTCTGTCCATCTGGTTGTCTGTCTGTGTGTCTTGGCTGGCTAATTATTTTGAATTATTCAATTTCATGTCTCAATTTAAATTCTCTGAGGCAATTAGGAAAGTCAATTCTGGCTGCTGCCATTGCTGTGGCTCTTATTGTTTCTGTTATCTATCTGCTCCTCAGTCATTTTTAGTTTTTGTGCCACTCAGTGGCACTTTGATGCGTGTCCAGGGGCGGAGCTAGATGCCTCTCTCCAAATGCAAATTAGAACTGTGTGTGGGTCCGAAATGAAAACCATTTAAATAATTGAAAATCGAATAAATCGCGCGCAACGAAACCAGAACTAACAAGAAGAACAAGGCAAAAAAGCTGAAAACGCATGCGAATTGAAAATCTAAAATACAATTGACCAGAACGCAGGGGGGCACAGGTGAGCTGAGGGTGAGGTGAGCGTTTCAAAGCAAATGCGATGACCGCTTAATGCAAGTAAATAGACAGCGAATGCACGCAGATATATATAGACATATATATATCCTATATACATGCTATAATATATATATATACAGGCGAAATGCGCCTCGGTTTGTTGATGTGCAAAATCTAATTAATTATTTCATTAAAAGCGTATTTTATTGACATTCTAATTTGGATTTTTAGAAAATTTTTCTCAACACAATTGTGTGTATTGGCTGTGTGTGCCTAGATGTATCTACACACACACACACACATGGATATATTATATATATATTGACTATCAACTGGTTTACAATTTGGGCATGCGGCCTATGCGGCGTATGCGTAATTTTAATTGGTTTTTAACTAATTTGCTTGCATCCCCTTTCAGTATCAATCGAATTGCCTGTTTGTGGGTGTGCGTGTGTGTGTGTGTGTTTGCATACTTTCTTATAATTTACACATTGTGCATAATTTATTTTGACATAATATTCTAATCAGTTTAATGCTTTAAGCTTTATTTAAAGCTGCAAATGTGCTGGAAAGGATTTCAATTTGGGCTTCGACTTATGAAGTGAATTGAGGTTCTTTATAAGAGGAGACTTCATATTGTTTCCCTTATTAAGTAGCCCAAATAATAATAATACAAACAGCGCCATAAAATTGCTCTGAAAATAATTCTTTGATTACGTTGACGCCGAGTCCTAATAATGACAGCACAAGCCAACAGAATTTGGTAACCAAGACTAGAAGAACACGAATCTAAGATGAGAATAGCCGAGTCACATCAGACTGTTTGAAATAGTCCAAACATTCCATAGTTGAACTCGCCAACTGTCTGACTCTAGGCTCTGCCACAGGCTTGAAGAGAGCTGTATATATATATCTTTCTATATATATATGCATATCCAACTCGTGATATATCGACTTCATTTCGAGACGAAAAAGTATGTCCTTTGCTTAGTTGTTGCGTTTCAGTTAATTTTGTTGGCCTGTGTAATCGTTGTTAAAAGGAAGAAGGCTTTCACTGAGGCCAAGAATGTGTGTTTAAGTAACCAGCGAGTACACTGAAAGAAAATAGTATTTACAAGCAATAAAATGCCGTTTATTTTGCTCTTTTATGGCTATAAGAACTTTTTTGATTATAGCCAATATTACTGGCATCGGCTAAGTCATTCTCTTAGTGTACTGGAAGGAGGTCGTGCGTTGTGTTTATTCTCTGCCTTTATTTGGTGGGTCGTTGCTTCATTTACCGAGGCGCCGTATCAATTTACTCAAATAGTTGGCATAAATGTTGTTATCCTTATGTGCGCTTCCTGCTTGTCTAACAACAACTGTTGTTACTTGTCCCAATCCCAAACTCCTTGGCACGCATATCGTGTGCTATACGCGTGCACAGACACATATACGAGCTGCTGGCTAGAATCACATGATTGGATATGAAGCGGATTGTGTGTTGTTTGGTAATTCGTTTTTTATTTACTATTATCATTTACATTTATTTGTTATTATGATATGCCCAGCACCGCCCACTCCTTACATACTTTGCACAAACTTCACATATCACACAATGTGTGTGTGCGTGTGTGTGTGTGTGTGTGTGTGTGTGTGTGTGTGTGCGTGTGTGTTCGCTTGGCCTTTTTATTATGAACGTGTTCTTGTTTCTCCACGCAAATTTTTGATATGTTTTGTTTTAGACAGCCGAATTGATATTGCGCTTTGACTCCCATTTTAGCTGCAACATTTTTTGTTTTCGCTAACGTGAGAAATGCAATTGCGTTGCACCCACACACATTGCCACACAGGTGCAGCAATCATTCTCTTCATATGTATACAGAATAAATATATATCTATATAGTTTTTTTTTTTCGTTTACATTTACATATTTTTTTGGTTACCAACCGGCTGCGCGTTGTTGTTTTTTGATACTCGCTCACAGAGCGAGATGGGGCTTATTGGCTTTGTGCAATCTTACATTTTTATATATAATTTTGCCAGATTGAAGCATTAAGTTTGGTGTTCATAAAAATAGTAGTGCAGCTGAACACTAAATGTTAAACAAGGCTATTTAGAGATAAAGACAACAATTTGAAATCTTTTGTTATAGAACTCTCTATTGATTGCCCTGAGGCCCTGACATATCAGAACTATATTAATAGAACTGCCACAGCTCAGAGCTAGACTCCTTAACTCTTGTTGTTCGCTCAGGGCAAATCTGGCTTGGAGAGTGAACGAGCATTAAGCAGCTGGCTATGCCCGACGGCCACAGTCGTACTTGTTTTTGTTCTACTGTGTATATGGGGTCGGTTTTGTTTAGTTATTGTTGTTGTCGCCCTTTCGAATTTATGCGATACGACGCGAATGTTTGTTCAATAAACGAAATAATTGTCGGCAAGTGTGTTATGATGAAATTGTTTTGGGTTACTTCATAAATTAGCGCACAAGCGGAGAGCGTGAGAGGGAGACCCAGTCAGGTCTATAGCCCTAAAATGTGGAGTTTCAGCTGCCCATCGAAATCGGCTGGAAATTAGAATATTATGGGTCTTGGCGCAGTTGAGCTCTTTTAATGAATTTCAATTAGATTTCAATAGTTTTCAGGTAAAAAGACAGGTGTACATAAATCTAGTTCTATATGATGTTCATAATCGAATTTCAAGCAGCGCATCATTAATCAACTCGCGGGGCAAGCGAGCACCCAGCGAAGATGTAAACACAAGAAGAGGCCAAAAAACACACACAGAAACGTCGAAAGCAAAAAAATAAGACACGAACCCACAACTGACTTTCGAAGTTGGAAATTCCAAGTTGACTGTGGCATGAAAAATGAGCATGCCGCAAATGCAGGCGCCAATTGCAATCGCAGACTTTGTTGCATTGGGCTTCTGTGATTATTTTTTGATAAAGGGGCGTGCCGGCCGCATTGTGGAGATCATAATCGTGAGCGCAGTCAGTAGTAAATGAATGGGTTTATAAATATTATGAAGGCAGCACATCGATCAGGTTTTTGTTTCTCTAGCTCTAATTCTAATTCTGGTCTATTGGGGTCTCAGTACCGCAACCTGCAGCTGTAGATAGATCAACGCGACGTGGTGCAAACAGCTAATGATCTTATACAATTACATTTTCGTGGCTCAGAGTGTGTGGATCAGAGCCAGAAAGTGCGCTGGCTCGCTGCTTGTAAACGGTTAAATTAAATTGATTTGCGTCTAATGCCCCCGACAAGTGGCCCGCTCGGTGCGCTCGCGTAATTAATGATTCCATTAGACACCACGGAGGGTCGCTGTAAAGCTGACCAACTGAACAACTGAACAACTGAACAACTGAACAACAACTGGGCACTTGGTAAGAGGCAATCGGCAACCATCAGCCGCCAGCGTCGTCGTCTCGGTGCTTAAGTATGAATAATTGGTAATAGTATTTAATGATGGGGCTACCAATGCTGCTGAGCGGGGCCACCTGCCGCACTTCATGCTGTGGACGGTGGCAATTGAACCTGAAATGAGCCAACGACTTATGAGTTTCTTTCTTTCTTTTAGTTTTGGATTACAGACAGCAACCGGCAGAGAGAGAGCCGGAGAGAGAGAGAGAGAGAGAGAGAGTATCGCTGAGCCAACCCCAAGCCAAACCGAACCGGCCCGACCTAGTAAACGTTCCGTCCATGGTTGAGACACCGAGTGAGAGAATCCGGTGAAAATGGACAAAGGCCGTCAGAGGTTGCCACAACTTTCGCCCAATTAGCAGCACAAGGCAGCAGGAGTAGCAGCCGCAACAGCAGCAGCAAGCATCAAGATTGGCGGAACGGCACTGTAAATATTTGCGAATCTCCACACAAAGCTGCGCAAGAGCAAACATACGTTTACAGTACAATAGAACAGAAACGAAATAGGATTTGGCAACAAAGACAGCTTGGATCGAGCCCATTAGGACACAGCGGACATACAAAAAGCGGGCGAAGTAAACGAAAGAGTCAAGGACACGGCGCAAGTTCCTATAAATGACCGAGTCCACTCAGCTGCAAACGGCGGAGAATAATAACGCGGGCGTGGTCAAAATGGAGCCACCGCCATTGGCGACCTCCACCCACTCGCATACGCACGCCCTGGCATCAACAGCAGCCGCTGGCGCCGGTACGGCGCTATCGCCAGCAACGCCGCCATTGCCACAGCAGCAGCAGCAGCAGCAGCATTATGCGCTTAAATGGAATGATTTTCAGACTTCAATACTCAGCTCGTTTCGGCATTTGCGGGACGAGGAGGACTTCGTGGATGTGACGCTCGCCTGCGATGAGCGCTCCTTTACCGCACACAAGGTGGTCCTGAGCGCCTGCAGTCCCTACTTCCGCAAGCTGCTAAAAGCCAATCCCTGTGAGCATCCCATTGTCATACTGCGCGATGTGCGCAGCGACGATGTCGAGAACCTGCTAAGGTGAGCGAAGAATTTCCAACTTTGATGAAGTTGTTTTTATTGTAAATCCTAATTGAAATCTCTCCAGCTTCATGTACAATGGCGAGGTGAATGTGAGTCATGAGCAGCTGCCGGACTTTCTGAAAACGGCGCATTTGCTGCAGATACGCGGCCTGGCGGACGTCAATGGCGGCTATCCCTACTCGAAAGCTCTGTCCGCTGCACTCAGCACCAGCAGCAGCAGCAGCAACAACAACAACAACAACAACAATGCAGACAGCAGTAACAATAACAAAATTAGCAACTATTTGCCCACAGCGCTGGGCAATGCCAACCTGAATGCCAACAGCAACAGCAGCGCCAGCGCCAACAACAGCCACAGCCACAACCAGAGCCACAGCCAGACCCAGAGCCAGAGCTCGACGTTCAGCACTCCACAAACGCCGGCGACAGTGCCGGCGTCTAGTGCTGTGGCTGCTGCCGCTGCAGCAGCATCGCTGACGGCAGCCGTTGCAGCAGCAGCCGCCAATCTGCCATTGAGCAGCGGGAGCAACCAGGGCCAGAGGGAATCGGGCGCAGCACAGAGCAGCAACAGCAGCGGCACGCCCGCTATTCAGGAACTGAAGGCCTCCGCAGCGTCGCCCGTAAGAAACTCAAATCCCAATCCAAGCAAAGTAAAGTCGCTTGCATGCATTCCGATTGCGACGTGCCACAATTCTCACCCAATTCTCTCCTTCTATCCTCATTTCGCCCACCTTAGGCCAGCAGCAACAATCATTGGGATCTGAGCGATATGGAGGGCAGTCGCAAGAGTCATTTGACACCGCCGCCGCAGAAGCGCATCAAGAGCGCTGACCTGTTTCGTGCCCAGCATGGCATTAGTCCCGAGCGTTTGCTAATCGATCGTGACTTTCCCGTGGCGGGGCAACATCCCTTGACGCGCAATCGCAGCCGCGATACGTCCAAGGATCGCGATCGCAGCTTAGAGCTGCGCGAATCACTGCTTGGTCAGGCACTGGAGAATAGCAATGGACAGCAGGCCAATCAGGTGGGTGAAGCCTTAATGCCATTAGAGTGTATTCTTTTTCCAGCTAGCAACTCCCAACTCTTTCTAGAAACATGATCTCGGCCAGAGTGCCGGCGAGGACTCGAACAGCAGCGACACGGAACCCTCAGATCGCGGCGATGGCCACCATGATGGCACTCTAGATGGCATGGACAATCAGCGCTCGCACTCCTTTCCAAATGCATTCCTCGGCCTGCAGGGCATACCCGGCCTCTTGCCAGGACCGTCCGGCCTAGGTGGCAATGATTTTGGTAAGTGGACAGATCAAAGTTTCTGCCTTTTCTATTTACTCTTATATATTTGCCTCTTGTGTATGATTTCGATTGTCGCGTGCGATTTGCGTATGATTTGCATTTGCTACAAGCTCGTTACTAATCTATCGATAGCTATCGATAAACCGATAAACGGCAGAGCGTTCACAATTCGACAAACAATTGGCCAAAGAAAAAAGCGACAAGCGTAAAAGAGAAGTCCAAAAATTGATAAACCTGTATAGATAAGTTTAGTTAAGTGCGCTGTATATCGATTGTTATCGGTTTATTGTTAATCATTATCTTATCACTTGCATACCACAACAATCTATTACCAATAGTGCTCAATTTTAGTTTGTTATTATTTAAGTTATGCAGCGAAACTCACAAATATTAAGGATTACTGCCAGTTGGCCTATCGATATTACGATAACACTTATCGCAGCCATTTTGGTAGACAAACACACACACATAAAGCTCATATCACGCCTAACGAGTTGCCCAAATCGAGCCAATCATTAGACCCATCCATGGCACCCACTTGGATCCAGCACTAACCATAAAGTGTGAGAGAGCCATATTCCAATTCTAAATACCAATCCCGGCCAATCGGCTCAGAGTGTGAAGAAATATGCGCGGGCCACGTGTCGCATTACGAGTAAAGTTTTTTGGCCTGGACAACTGCTGTTTGGGACATTCGGCGTGTGATTATAAACATATTCCGGGGGTAGCAAAACGGCCGTAATGTTCATTTACTTATGTGCAAATGTTTCGAATTATTATTATTATTCCTATTACTATTACTATTATTATGATTATGATTACCATTCGATATTATGCGTCGGCGTTGGCGTCGGCGTAAGCATAGCCGGATGCTTGCGGCAAAACCCGTTTACAAATATGAATCGTTGCGTTCCGTTTTCCGAAGTCAAGAACTCGTTGAGGCTGCCAACCCACGCACGCCCCCACACGCGCTGCCTTTGCGTAGTCGAACACATTACACGCACTTTGTATAACGTCGCAAATGTCGCATTTATCGCGCATTAAAATGATAATGGTGCCTCAGCCTGAGCCTGAGCCTAGGATGTCGTCCACCTACTACAAAGGCATAGGAACTGAGGCTAGAACGTCGCTAAGCCGGCGATGCCATTTAATATTCAGCGCACATAGATCATTGCAGCAAATGTTGACCGGCTGTTTGGTTAGTTGCTGGGCCGAACGACTAGACGATGGGTTTGTAAACCAGTTGGTCGTCCGATGGGTCGATGGGGCGATGGGTCTGTCGGCCTCTCGCTCGGCCGCAGCTGCCCTGCTTGCTGTTGACTCCAAGTTGCAAAGAAATCAAATTTAATAAAGCATAAACATTCAATAAGCTTCGGACTTGCACGCCCTCACATCACACACACCGGGGAGAAAGTCATTTGAAATTCCGGACAGCGGTAACGTGTTGGCACTAGGCTGTACTTGGTATTGGAATTGGGACTTTTCGACTTGGCCATTTCGCATTTAGAAACGAAAATATTAACGGCCCTGGCTGAAAAGGATAAAGTTTTGTGCAATGATAAAAATGATAAGTTCCTTTCTCTCTTTTTTTCTTTTTGGTTTCTTCTGTTTGTTGTTCTATGTCAGTAGCTGTCCGCCTCCATTCCAGCAGCTCGTTTAGAGTAGACCAGAAAGGACAACAAAGAAAAGGACGACACTCCTCCGCGCCACATACATGCATACATATATTTAGATTTTATTTCATTTTATTGCTTTTTTGTGCATTCGATTTATTTGAAGACATTGGCAATGGCCGAAACGGACTTGGAAATTGCGCACATGTGTGCGCAAGGACTTGAGAGCCCGAACCCCCTCTAGCTCCCCTCGTCTATGCCAACTATGCCAACAAGCCAGTCCAGTACAGTAAGGTTTTTTGGGCCAGTTCGCGTTGGTTCAGTTCAGTAATATGAGTTGGGTTTGCATTTTAATATATTATTTGCGCCCGTCTTGGTCTTCGTCTTCTGCTTCTTCCTGTGTCACATACTCGCAATCAGATGCGGGCCAAGTGGTTGGGCGCAAAAAGTTTACTTTGCAAAATCCGTTGCAGAAACATTTATAAAGTGGCCAGCCCCCAAATGTCTAGAAGAAGTAGCAGCAGTCAGCGTACTAGGTGACGGCGACGGTGACGGTGACGGGACGTTGGGACTATGTCGCTCTTGGGAGCGCATAGAAAAAAAAGGACGACCAGAATAACAAGGCGTAGGAGCTGACGCTGACCTCTAGAAGGCGTTGCCGTCCATGACGTTGCTCTGAGCGACATTTTAAAATGAAAATGATAGCAGAAGAAAAAAATATAGCGAGGAAATGCGAGCAGCGGACGTAGCCCTCGGGCGGGTTGGACTGGCGGTGGACAGGCGGCAGGCAGTCGAAACATTGACAGCAAATAAATGGAAGCCAAAATAATAACAGCAAAGGGGAGGTGCAGCAGCTCGTGTGGGTGTATAATCTAAATGTGTGTCTCTCTCTCTGTCTGTGTGTAGAAAATTAAAAAAAAACCCTAGACAAACGGTAAGGACTTTTTGGCAAAGCACCGAGTCCCTATACCAATTCAACGCCATCTGTTTGGCTACCATTGTTGGTTGCAAGGCGTCAAGAAAGTGTTTCCCCTTCTTCGCACACGGTTCCCAGGCCCACGGCCAAGCTCGTGTTATCTGTTAGCCACTGCAGTTGGCGCCATCAGACGTGGGTGAAGAAAAATCATTGACATATAAGGCCATTTGCTCATTTCTTGTGCCGAAATCAAATGCAAAAGTTCCACGGAAAGGGCCACGGAGTGAAGCTCGGACTTGGCCGGACCGACTGGCGCTGGCCAACTAATGCGCAAAGTTTCTTTCAGTTTCATTTGCCAGCTGTGCCCCGTCACTAAAATGCATTACATCTCCTGCCACACTCCTATAAACAACACATTCAGCACTATTTTCCGCCCAGGCTTTTGATCTGATCTGTGCGCGAACTGCTCACATCAGAGATGAGCTGAGGTTGTAATTTGGGAAGGGCCTTATCAAGATTTTAAGGATATGATCAATTTCACAACTCAGCAAATACTGAAGAAGAATTTCTCTATTGAAACTTTCTGTTGAAATATTATCTTAGATAACTGCTGAAGAAACTTTGCGCATCAATTTGAGAATATATTAAATATTATTATTATATTAAATATTTAATATATTATTAAATATTATTATTATATTAACTATTTAATATATTATTAAATATTATTATTATATTAAATATTTAATATATTATTAAATATTATTATTATATTAACTATTTAATATATTATTAAATATTATTATTATATTAAATATTTCATATATTATTAAATATTATTATTATATTAAATATTTAATATATTATTAAATATTATTATTATATTAAATATTTAATATATTATTAAATATTAAATAAGCTTTAACTTAAAAACTAAACTTACGAAATTTTAAGCGCTAATTTGCTGCAGTTAATTTCCTTTATAATATTTTATTGAATTATTAAAAGGATCAGATAGATTTGATTCTTCTGAAAGAGAATTGCTCAATGAGTAGACGAGAGCATTGCTAATAGACAAGAAAGAAAAAGAAAGTTTTTACTAAAATGAAGACAATCAAAATAATGTCTAATAATTTTTTTTTAATTCCTGTTTTTATTTGCAATCTGTCAAACAAATTTGTTAACAATAATATTACGTAACCGGCTGGCTTGGGCTCCAGTGAGATCAATCCATATATTTAACTACTTTACATATTTATCTATTTCTGTGGTGTAGGTCTAGGACACGTAATCTTTTAAGTCGCCTGTGGTTGCTAATGTCTAATAATGAGACTCAAGTTCTTCATTCAATTTCCGAAGCCCAGGAAATTTAACAACTTAACAACAATAAAAGTTATATTGCGAGATTTCTTTGAGAGAATTTGGCTGCAATTGTAAATTTCTTTGAGAGAACTTGGCTTAAATTGTAGATGAAGGCATAGATAACATTAGTAGGCACAAATTCTGAAGTTACATAAGTAACTGTAATACTTAAACAAAGTTCCTAATTAAAAAAAAAATTGTATTTACTAGAACTGCCCCAAGATCTGTTCGAATGAAACAAGTTTGATAATTTTCAAGCAAGATTTGCTCAGGTAATAGCAGAAGGAAGGAATGTTGCACTGGAAGAAATTGCTCACTAAATGTCTTTGATATTCAGAAAATATGTTTAAGCATAAGAAACAAAATCCTAAATATTCATTTATATTCAAAATCTCTTTAGAGAATTTATTCTTCAATGGACTTGGACTTAAGACAAGTAAAACATTTGGAAAATATTGTAAAATCTTATCAAATGAACAAAAGTAATTCAAATACCAAATAATTAAGACATCTATAAAATGATGAATGACTTTAAAGCAGTTTCAAATCCCTGACAAACCTGTAATACTTTTCGCTTAATGAGCAATCGCCGCGCCTGAGCGTAGGCAATGGAAAGGTGAAAAACTATTTTCAGTTGCATTTCCAGCGAAAACTGGAGCTGCGAGTGATATTTATACGCGTGTTTGCCATGAATAGTTGCTGGGGCTTGGACAATGGCGAGGGAGAGGGCAATAGAGACATTCAATGGACACAAAGTAAAGCATAAAATTAGCAGCCAGCAATAATCATGCGAAGAACATTTCTCAGGCCAAACAAAACGCGCCCAGTTCCAGGTGAGTGTGAGTGTGCGTGTGCGTGTTGGCCAGGCTCTATGAGTGTGCCTGTGTGTGTGTGTAGGGATTGGAGGGTTGTTGTTGTATGATGGCGGTCTTTTATATATGTTGGCGTGTTTGCATTTAATAAATTCGATTAACAACGGAATAAATACGCTTAAATGCGGAAAATAATGAAAACTAACGAAAAGCGTTTTGTTAGACGTCGCCGTGCGCTGCTCGCCTTTGCCCTTGCCTTTGCCTTTGCTGTCGGCGTCGACGTCGCTTGGGCGC